CACCTGAATCATGGTTCATGATTTTGAACCACGGTCAGCCACGTGGGAGTCCAGCAATGTAACCACTATGCCACCTACTGGTCCCCAATGTCAGCATTTTTGAAGGATCATTGTGTTTGATAAAAATATGTATATATATATATATAAATAATTTCTTTTTCTTTCTTTCTTCCTTCCTCCCTTCATTCCTTCCTTTCTTTTCCTTCTTTCTTTCTTTTGTTCTTTCTTTCACTCTCCCTCCCTTCCTTCCTTCCTTTTCTTTTCTTTTTAATTTGACCAGAGAGAAAGAGAAAGTGAAAAGGCAAGCCTCCAGGTCTGGGACCCTAACCACAGTCTGTCATGTGGGAGTCCAGCGCCCTTAACCACCACACCACTAGCCGGCCCCATGTTCTATGTACTTTATCAGAATATTTTATACTTGACCTGTCTGTACCTCAGTTTCCTCACCCGTAAAATTGGGATAATGGGGGACTAGCAGTTGGTGTAATGGCTACGTTACTGAATTTCCATGTAGTCTTCCTATGTAGTCGACCGAGGTTCAAGCCCCGGACCCGGCGACTTAAATTCACGCCAGGCGTGTGTGCATGCATGCCCAAGATCCCGAGAGAAGAATGGAGGAGAAGGGATTGTGGCATGGCCATCCCTCCTGAGGGGTGATTTCTCACTTTCTGTCTCTCTGTCTTTCTGGCGAGTGCATGTGCCTTACAGCAAAAACCTCTTCCCCCCAAAAAAGTGGGGTAATGGTACCTTTCTTAAAGAGGTGTGAGTTGTGATGATTAAATATATCAAAACATACAAAGCCTTTCAAACAATGCCTGGGGCCAGCCAGTGGTGTGGTGGTTAAAGTAGCTGGATCCCTTGAACTGAGCTGTTCAAGCCCTGAACCCGGCAGCTTGAAAAACATCCCAGCACATGTGCGTGTGTACCCAAATCCCGAGAGGAGGATCGAGGAGAGAGGATTCCACATGGCCATGCCCACTGGGGCATGCTTTCTCACTTGCTCTCTCTCTATCTTCAGAGAGCACACTTGCCCTGTAACAAACAAAACCAGTGTCTGGCATATAGTCCTAAGAGCTTAATAAATGTTGGTTATCGTTGTTAATATTGCATGAAACACTGTCATCACCCTTAGGTTAATGGAGTTACCCTTTCTGAGCCCGTATGGCACACAAAGCCTGTCATCAGCATTACAAGTTGGACAGTGGCACAGCGGTGAAACATGATGCTTGGCAAGGCTAACCCCCATCAGGTTCCAGATTTCCATCCAGAGACCCCCTGAGTATGCTGGGTACACGTGTGTTCATGGTTTGGGGCTGGCTGAGGCTGGGGTGGGTAATGTGGGGACCTGGCTGGGGGTGCTCTCTGATTCTCTCTCTCCAGCCTCATGGAAGAGATAGGTGAAACCCGAAAACAAGAGCATTTAATAGGTGTAGCCCTGGTGGCACAGTCGGTAGCAAACTGAACTGCAGTGCTAGAGGCCATGTGGCTAACTACTGGTTCAAATCCCTGAGTTGGTTTAAAAATACTCCAGGTCTGCTCATGTGCCCAAGATCCTACGGCGAGCTGTAGGGCTGGGGAGGGGGATCGCAGAGTGATGAGACCTGCCAAGGGTGCGTCTCTCTCTCTCCCTCTCTCTTTCTCTCTTTCTCTTTTACTCTCAGAAGCCTGTTGTTAGCCAGAACTGAGCTAGATGCTGGGCATCTCAGGAGCAGTGCCTAGGCAAGGGTCATACACCCTAACTGGGGGCATCTGGGCCATTTCAGAGCTGGCACCTCCAGAAGGAGGGAGGACAGACCACTCATCTGCCTCAGAGGAACAGGCAAAGATAGACCTGGAGCAGGGAGGAGACGGCTTGCAGTGCCGTGCAGAGGGCTTGGGAATCTGGCGCTGAGATGGCCCTTCCTGGGCCTATGTTCTTGTGAGTGTTTACCTGTTGGGGGGGGTCACTGGTGGGGTGACAACACACGAGACTGAGGCCACAGTCTTCTACCCAGGGAGGGAAGGGAAGCAAGACACAAAGAAAGAAGGCAGTGCATGCTGGGCCCAGGCCCGGGTGGCTCTCCCTTGGCCCGCGGACATGGACCAGAAGGAGGGGTAAATTCAGTAGGCCAGGGGCTTGGGCCTCCAGCAGGCCTCCAGTCCTGGGACCACATGGAGAGCTCGAGGTGGGGACACCAGGTTGTTACCCTCTCTGCTTGGACACTGGCTCAGCTGCAGCAGGTCGCTGCCCCCAAGCTCCAAGGAACCTTGTGGCCTCCAGGTTCTGCGTTATCTCAAGGTCAGCCCCGGTCCACACTCTGAGCTGCTATTGGTCGCCCAGGAGATGGGAGGGGCCGGGTGGGAGGGAAACCCCGGCTCAGGATCCCTGAGGCTCAAGTCCATGGGTGGGGGCACTTAATTCTTGGCTTGAGATGCTCTGAGCCTGCCTGGGACCAGGAGGAGATGTTTAGAAACATCAGCCTCGAGGGCCCCCATTCCAGACCGGGAAGCAGGCCTGGAGACGGGGCGCGGGGTATCCCAGATCTCAAGGTAGGCGGATGGCAGGACGAGGCGAGACCCCCAGTCCCAAGTCTCCCTGGCAGAATGGTGGCTAACTGGGGGCCTGGTGGGACCTGATTTCCCAGCAGCCGACTTGGCTGGGTAGCCCTGGGAACACTTTCCAGGAATTCCAGCAAGAAATCCAGGAAGGTGGAGAAAAGGGCACCTCATTCCGACTGCCATTCAGACTCTAGCCCGCACTTGGCCCACACAGAATCACGCACATAGAGATCTCCCGCAAGGGACCAGGCCCCGACACGCAACTACCACTGGCTACCTGGTCCAATATCTCGCATGCTAGCCTCAGAAAGGTTTCTCAGGGCCCAGCAGGTGGCATGGGGGTTAGGGTGCTGGACACTCCCACATAGCCGACCATGGTTCAAGTCCCGGACCTGGTGGCTTGCCTTCTCACTTTTCCTCTCTTTCTCTGTCTCTGTTTCTCTCTGGTCAAATTTAAATGAATGAATGAATGAATAAATAAATAAAATTAAATAAATCATTATTTTTTTAAATAAATAATTATTTTTAAAAAAGAGAGAAAGTATTCTCTATGTCCACTTTAGGCCCTGGTCATGAAAATCACATCTTTAAAGAAACAGGGTCAGCCCCCGGCATGGTAGTTAAGGCAGCTGGGTCCCACATGACTGATCACACAATTTAGTCCTAGACTGGGTGGCTTGAGAAACACATCAGGTACATATGCATGCGTGCCCGAAGTCCCAAAGATGGGAGGGGTGGGAGTGCAGTGTGATCCCTATGGGGGGGGTGTTTCTCCCTTTCTCTCTGTCTCTCCCTGGTTAAAATGCACGTGCCCTCTTGCATAAATAAATAAATAAATATTTTTTAAAACTTTATTTTAAAATTTGACCAGGGATAAAATGATAGGGAAAGCAAGAAAGCAAGCCACTGGGTCTGGGATTTGAACTATAGTCAACCATGTGGGAGTCCACTGCCCCTAAAACCATGCCACCTGCCAGTTCCAGCAAAATTTTTTTTTATTTTTAAAAAGTAAAGATTTAAGTATGTATAAAGTATTGGGTCATTGGAAAAGTCATGACGAACTTTTGCATAGAGAAACAGAAAAAATATGTCACGACATTTTCGACAACTCAGTACTTAGAACACTTCCTGCCACAAAATAAGTGCTCTATTGGGATTTCTTTTTTTCTTTTTCCTTTCTTTCTTCTTCTTCTTTTGTAGAGATTTTTGCTTTAAGGTACATGGACTTGCTGGGCAGAGAGAGAGAGAACGAGAGGAAAAGTGATAAATCATCACCCCCAGGGAGATGGCCACGCTGTGACCCCTTCTTCTCCTCCTGGTACTGTGGGCATGTATGCACACATACCCAGTGTGAGTTTCAAGCCACTGGATCCGGGACTTGAACCGTGGTTGGCCGTGTGGGAGTCCAGCGATGTAATTGCTACGCCACCTGCTGGCCCCATAGTGTTTCTTCTTGCTCTTCTATTATTATTATTATCGCTGCCTTTCTGCCCTTGTGGGCTTGTGCTAAAATCAACAACCCTGAACAAGAGGACTGCGGAGAGGAACTGGGAATGACCCGCTAGCCAGTCGCCCCCACGTGGGAAGCAGAGGCCAAGGAAGGCCAAGGACCTTCCTAGGGATTCACACAAGATGAAAACCAAAGATTCAAACTGAGCCTTGCAGGCTTGGTGTTCAGCTCACAGAGGACCAAGGCATTTGTTTTAGAGAGATTTTTGCTATAGGCCGTGTGTGCTCACCAGAGAGACAGAAAGCAAGAAATCTCCCTCCAAGGGGGATGGCCACTCCGCAATCCTTTCCATCTCCTCTCAGGACTTTGTGCACACACACACACATACCTGGTGTGAGTTTTAAGCCGCCAGGTCTGGGACTTGAACCATGGTCAATTATGGGGGAGTCCAGTGACGTGACCATTATGCCACCTGCTGGTCCCAAAGCCATGGCATTTTTTTTTTTTTGGAGAGGTTTTCGCTATAGGGCGCGTGCGCTCGCCAGACAGACAGAGAGAGACATAGAGACAGAAAGCGAGAAATCACCCCCCAGGGGGGATGGTCACGCCGCAATCCCTTCTCCTCCTTTCTCCTCTCGGGATCCTGGGCATGCATGCACACGCGCCTGGCGTGAGTTCTAAGCCACCCGGTCCGGGACGCGAACCACGGTCGACTACCTGGGAATCCAGCGACATAGCCATTACATTAACTGCCGGTTCCCAAGCCATGGCATTTTAAAATTGGTTGCTAACACGAAACAGTCGGCTCTCTGGCTTCTCTCATAAAGGCAGCGACCTATGTGAGAGTGGGACCCAGACCAGGCAGGCGCTCTCCGCTCACCCAGTGTCTGCTACTCCCTGCCGTCACCCAGCCCGGTTCACTCCTTGGCCTCTAACCTGCCTGGCCCAGAGACCCTTGAGTTTGTGACCCCCAAACTAAATGGCCACTGGCCCCCAGCAGCACACCTTGGGAGGAGCTTTCTGCCACAGAGAATTTATTGTCCACACCGCAGCCCGATGGACGCGTGCCCATTTCCCAGCGGATGTCGATGTCACCACCAGTTGGAGGGCTTGGAGATGGGCTCAGGGGCAGTCCAGCCTGAGCGGATTGCTTCCCAGAACTTGGGCAGACGACCTAAGGAAAAGAGCCCGTGTCCAAACAAAGGGAGCTCGGGCAGCTTGATCCCTGGCCTCTGTGGCAGCGTGGGAGACAGGCCCGGGCAGTGAGGCTGGTGTGAGCCGCTCAGGCAGGTGGAGTTGTCTAGGCACTGTAGTGCACGGGGGCCCCTGGTGGATGGCACCATGGAAGTGCTGGGGGTAGTGCCCTGAGCCGTGGCCATGCAGGCGCCGGGGCTGGAGTAACTGCGGTCCAGGTGGAGCGAGTTGGCGGCTCGTTCCAGGCAGTTAGCGGCGAGCCTGGGCAGGCTCAGCGTTTTGGGGCAGTTGTTGTAGAAGGCACTGGTGGATCGATCCAGGTAGTTGATGCCTTTGATGAGTTGGTCCAGGAAGGAGGGGCTGGAGGGGCCTGAGGGACGGTCTGTACAGAGCAGGCAGTGGGGGCCACTACAGCAGGAGGGCTTTCTGGCCACCCTGGGGTGGGTCGCCAGGTGACTGGTCTCCACGCACTTGGAGTTGTAGGGCCGGCCCATGCAGATCTTCCTCAGGGCCAGGCCGGTGGTGCTGGAGGGCGACTCCTGCTCAGAGTGGCTGCTGCAGCTGCTGGACTCCGAGTCACTCGGGGCGCGGGGGCGCTTGAAGCTGTTAGCCTTGCTCGGGCGGGGACCTGGGGCCCAGCCTGGAGCTCGGTTCACGCCGCTGGGATGGCTCAAGTGGCTGTAGGTGTTGGCATGGCTCACCTGGTGTCCAGGCATCCTCCGGGCCGGGTGGATCAAGCTTCGTGGCTGAGCTGGGAGAGCGTCTGGAGGTGACCTGGGCCTGGCAGGAGAGAGTTGGGGCAGCTCACCTGGGCACCCATTCTTCCCCCAGGATTTCTCTTCGGGTGTTCAGATACCCCCCTGCCCCTCATCCTCCCAGCCCCAGGGAGTCTCAAACTGGAAAACTGGCACCCTCTTCTTCAGGAAAGAAAAAGGATGGGAAGGAAGGACAATGCCTAAGACCAGAGGACACCCTAGAAGAAGCGGGGCAGTGTCTTCGTTTTCCTTCTACTCTACCCACACTCTGAAATTCCCATTTGCCTTTCACGCAGGGACTCAAAGCCCACAGAGGCCAAGGACTGGGTCTCTGATGGTAAAGTCCCAAGCAAGGACAGTCCTTCCTCAGAGGCGACACCCAGCAGCTCCCATCAACCTTCCCGCCCACCCCGCTGCTTCTGCATCCTAGATGTGATGTCCCAGCCTCGATGCGACATGACACGCACCCATTGCCTGGGGGCCAGCTCAGGGAGGAAGTTCCTACACTGTTCCCAGTTGACAGAGAGAAACTGAGGCTTGGGGAGGTGACCTGGCTTCCCTAGGATCTCGCGGGGTGTGAGTGGTAGGGCCAGGGCAGCATCTTCGGTGTGTCTGATGACCCCCGACAGACAATGCTGTGTCGTCAGGGGGACTTTGGCCTCCCTCATAGCCTGCTAAGGATGAAGGGGGGGGGGTGCTGCCAGGGCAGGGACATCAAGAGGGGTAAGGAGAGCGGGAATAGCCAACCACAACTAAATCGATATTGACTTTAGGAGCCCCAAACAGAGTTGGGGGATGGGGGTGAGACAAGTCCCCCAGGGGGCTGATTCTCTCTGAGCGTAGGGGATCTCCTCCCCCACCCCACCAGAGGAGGAGCACTAGGGTCCTTGGGCTTCCTGGCTAAAAGCTGGGCACTTCAGGGACACGAAGGCCTGACCAGGCCAAAGAGCTGCCCCCTCCTGGGCCCACCTGGACCCAGCCAATGACACTGTGGTTCCCCAGTGCTCACCGCCCCCCATGCTCAGCCAGAGGGAAGGCTCTGACCCCCACCCACCCCCCACTGCCAGCTCAGTGCTAATTTTCCCTGTCCACCTGGCAACAACAGCTGTATTCGAGGCCGTCCCGCCTGGAGACCAGCTGCCGGCCCCTTCCCAGCCCACGGCCTGCCCGCTGCCCCTGTCCTTTGGGCCAGAAATGGGTGGAATGTCCAGACCTGGCCTCTCCCACCCCCTGTCCCCCACCCCGTCTCCTCTGAAAAGACAGAGGTGACCGGGGGCTGACCCAGGCAGAGCCCCTTCTGGCCAGCCGCGTCCCTCTGCCACAGGGCTTTGCCGGCTCACTCTGTCTTCTAGGAGGTGGGTGACTTAGACCTCCTCTTGCGATCCACTGCGGATACCTTCATGCCGCCACTCCAGACTGCTGGCCATGTCATAGAATCATGGAATCCTAGAGCCGGGAGGGGCCCCCAGGGTCATCCTGGCCAGGCCCCTGCGTCAGGGTCAGAGCTACTTTAGCCTGCCAGGACAGATGGGCCCTATTTTTGAAACGAGGCTGGGTGGCCTTTTTCCAGGGTTCCTTGTTTTTCTCATGTTTAACTACTCCGGGAGCCAGGGAGTTTTATGTTAGCTCAAATTTAACTCCTGCTAGCTGTGGTCAGCATTCATTTCTTTTCTTTTCCCACTGGGTGGGCAAACATCGAATCCCTCTAGAGTTATTTTTTAAAAATTATTATTTTTATTTAATTTTATTCATTATTAAATTTAACCAGAGAGAGACAGAGAAGGAAAGTGAGGAAGTCCAGCCACCAGGTCTGGGACTCGAACCGTGGTAAGCCACGTGGGAGTTCTTCACCTGAACTACCACACCACCTACCAGCCCCGGTTGAGTGCTGCCTCTGTGGATGACCCATTCTCAGGTATAATACCAATGTCTTTCTCCCTTCTCACCCAGCCCTGGTGCAGTCAACAGCCCTGTGCGAAGCACCTCTTCGGGGTCAGGCTCTGGCTACAGTCCGAGGCTCCTTCAGGGAGCAGACCTCAGGGCCGCTTTCAGAACCCAAGCCTCTCTTTTGGGTCTGGCCCATAGGCGTGTCTGATACGTATTTATTGAATGAAAGGATTTTATTCTTTAAAGTCTCGTGGTATTTGCCAGGAAAGACCTCTCTCCTGCTTTCTTTTCCCTCAAATATTAATAATATAGTTTTATTTTCACTATGAAACATTCTCAGACCTGGACCAGCAGGTGGAATGGTGATTAAGGTGTTGGGCTCTCTCATGGCGGACCCCAGTTGAAGTCCCAGACCCAGAGGCTTGAAAATCAGCCACGAACACGTGTGCCCAAAATCCAGAGGGGAGAATGGAAGCGAGGGACTGAGGTGTGGCCATCCACCCTGGGGGGTGGTTTCTCACTTTCCCTTTCTGTCTCTGGAAAGTGTATGTGCCCTAAAATGAACTAAATAACAATACATTTTAAAAATTTTAGAGAGACCAGCAGATGGCGTAATGGTTACGTCACTGGACTCTCACATAGTGACCGTGGTTCAAGTCCCAGGCCCGGTGTGTAAAACTCATGCCAGGTGCATGTGTCCCTAAAATCCCAAGAGGAAAATGGAGGAGAATGGATTGCCGTGTGACCATTCCCCTGGGGGACGCTTCTCACTTTCTGTCCCTCTGTCTCTCTGGCAAGGTGACTGTACTCAGGGAGGTCTCTCCAGACATGAACCCAGAACCTTCCTGTGTGGACCAACTCTCAGGGCATTGCGTTTTACTGCCGCTCCACCGTCTGTCCCTAGCAATCACTCTTCCAGTTCAGGACTCGCTCACGGTGGGGCCCTGCGCTTGGTTCTCTTTCGTACCCTCCGACTTAGAATTGTTCCTCGGCCTTTCTTTGTCTTTCCGGACACTGACGATTTTGAAGAGTACAGGCCAGTTTTTGGAGGGTGTTCTTCGATCTGGGTTTATCTGACGTTTCCTAACGAAAACAGATCCAGGATTACGAGCACTTTGGCATAGCTACCCCTGAGACGGCCCTCCTTTTCCCACGGTCACTGACAGGGCCTTTAGCCTCAGGGTGGGGTCGAGTTGTTTAAACGGGGAGCCAAGACAAGGGTTCACAGGGTCTCCCCGCCTGGAGGAGGAAGAGGAGCGAGGGGGAACTCATTGAACCTGGAAGCGGTGTCCTCAGTTCCCTGTGGGGCCCGAGCCAGGGCTTGGCTCTGCTCTGGGCTGGGGGCCGGCAGGCAGGCAGCCAGCTGGAGGGCTGGGCCTCGGGGCTGTTTGTCCTGAAGGTACCCAGTACCAAGAGCACTAGCCATTTCTGGCCTGGGCACGAAGAGTTGCTGGAAATAGCTCTGGGACAATTATTTCAGGAGGAATGTGCTATCCTCCATCTCCCCAGAAGACCAGGCTGTGTTCCATAGGGTCAGGAAGGTCTGTCTCTGGCTCCCCATGCTAGGGGACCCGTAGGCCTGCTGGGGTCACAGAGGCCTCAATGGGGTAGGAGCAGAAAACGGGTCTGGGAGACAAAAAAGCCTCCTCTCCTGCTGGGGGAAGGTGACTCTGTCATTAGTTCTCAGATTCTGGGATCTCTGGGGCTGGCCTGGAGTTAGGAAGGGCCAGCTGAGGTGCCGCTGACTCTGAGCCCGGGGACACATGGTGGGGAAGCTGGTGGGAGGTGTCTTGCCCAGGCCCATCTGGAAAGCCGACACTGGTGGAGCACCTACTGTGTGCCGAGACCTGACATTGTCCGGGCCTGGCCTTTCATTTCATCTTCACAACAGTCCTAAAGGGTAGGTATTTTCTTTTCCAGATGAGGTAATTGGGGCTCAGAGAGGGCAGGAGACTTGCCCAAGCTTGTCCAGGAGGCCAGAATTAGAACCTGGCCTTCTGATTACGGAGCCTACAGGCTTAAGCACCAAGCAGGGAAGAGGGAGGGCCACCCCTCACCCGGTGAGGACTTGGGAAGTGCCACTGTGGACCTAGCACAAGGGGAGGGGTCTAGCTGCAGACCCCATCCTCCACCGCCCAGCCAAGCCTCCCTCCCCAGCATTGCAGGATGGGTGTCTCTGAATGTCCTGGGGGGTGCCCTGCCCTGCTGAGGCTCCAGCTCCAGGGCACCCCTCTTGCCCCACCGGGGCCACCCCCAACCTTGCTTCCTGAGCTCCTTTACCAAATCAGCAGCAAATCCTGGGCTTCCCTCATGCCCGACTGCTCTCTGCCTTCTCCCTTGACTGCCCTTCTCTGCAGGGGCCCCCACTTAGCACAAAAAGTTCAAGGGCATGGTTCCTCCGGGGTCCCTCAGAGTAAGGGAAGCAGCTCTCTTCCACAGAGATCTTGCACCCTGGCCCCTTCACACCCTTTAACCCCTCACCTGGAATTTAGCGCGCAAGCCTGAGATGGCGCAGGTGTATCCCTTTGTCCCTCAGCCACGTGGCTCTTGGGAGCATCACAGGTAAGAAGCCAGCCCAGCTCAGGAGCCACCTGCATGTGACACCCACATCAAAGAAATGGCCAGAGCCCAGAGCCATAAAGTCTTCAGGCCTCTTACGCCCTGCCTGAAAGGTGTGTGGCCAGCCCCAGGTGACTCTAGCAGGGTGACTCACCTGAGCCCTTACCTGGCATTGGGCCACCTTGCCTGCAGGGCTGAAATCTCGCCCTGGGCCAGGATTCTGGCTGTCCCCTGCAGCCTTCCCCCCACCCAGGACAGTAAGTCACGCCCAAACATCCCCTCCAGGATTCTGGCCCTCCCCTCACCAGCTGCCAGAAACAGCGCCTCCCCAAGCTTCCACACCCACACATCCCCTCCAGGATTCTGGCCCTCCCCTCCCCAGCTGCCAGAAACAGCGCCTCCCCAAGCTTGCTTGTGGCAGGCACAAGCCAGGGCAGATCTGGGCTCAGGAGCACCAGGCAGGTGTGGCCTGGTGGGAGCCACAGCCAGCAGGAGCCCCCTCCTGCCAAGCTACCCGAGGGCTTTGAGAGCTGAACAGCTCATCTGGGAGCTGACAAGGCTCCCATCTTTATGGGCCCGGGAAACTCCCTGTAAGGTGCGGGGCTGGGGAGACATCACCCGCAGGCTCATGTAACCTTGCTGTGAGCACGCAGTGCCCTGGGAGGCAGGACGGCAGGTGACTGGCTTGTGCTAGGGCCTGGGGCAAGTAGCTGAACTTTTTTTTTTTTTTTTGAAGAGGTTTTTGCTATAGGGCGCGTGCGCTGGCCAGCCAGACAGAGACAGAGAGACAGAAAGCGAGAAATCACCCCCCAGGG